TGTGTGTATTTTCTATAATGTTATCCAATTTGGTACTGAAGAGCCTTGTGGCAATTGTCTTAAGACGAAACATCGGTGTATACCAGTGAGGGTGACAGTGTTCCATGTAAGTGCAATTTATTACCATTCATTCAAAGTAGAACTCATGTGAATGATATCTGATTATTATTCCACAACGAATGTTTGAAATTCAAACTGAGTAAAGTATCTTCTGTATAATTCAGTGTTCATATAGACTGGATACTCGAACAGTTTTTGAGGCAGCATTAGGTAATGTTACTGGCCAGATACTTTAGGTTGCTAAAGCCATGAGTTTTAAGAAGAAATAGGTTAAGAATTGAATTGAAATGGGTTATGTTATTATTGTTTTCACGTGTATAGAGAGCAATTTTTAAAATGGCTAAATTCAATCTGAGTAAGTTAACTTTGTTATATTTGTACTGTGTTATCTTTTCTTCAAAACCATGTTTTACAGAAAAACAATCCAAACGTCAACCTGCTCGCCTGAGATACAAGGTAGAAAAAAAAATTCGAGATCATAACAGACAAAAACGAAAGGAAGCAAAAAAGAACCCTAAAAAAAGGAAGCAAAATGTTATACAAGTTCCTAATATATGTCCTTTCAAAGAAGACATACTAAAGGAGGTGGAAGCCATGAGAAAACAGAAGGAAGAGGAAAAGAAGATGCAGCGTGAAACTGCCAGACTCGAGCGCAAGAAGCAAAAAGAAGAACAAAAACAGGAGAATTTATCTGAAGGTCTTGAGGGGCTCGTTACAAAAGCTGAAGTGAGAAATAAGTTGCATGAACATCTCACTCCTTCACAAACAATAAAATCTCATGAGCTGAACAATGAACAGTCATTGAAGCAATATTACAAGGAGTTCAAGAAAGTTATTGAAGCCGCTGATGTTGTTCTAGAAGTAATTGATGCTAGAGATCCCTTGGGTACCAGATGTAAACAGGTAGAACAAGCAGTAATGGATTCAAATAATAAGAGATTGGTTCTGGTTTTAAACAAAGCTGACTTGGTACCACGAGCCATTCTAGATAAGTGGTTGAAGTATTTGAGAAAATCAGTACCTGCTGTAGCCTTTAAAGCTTCTACACAAAATCAAAGCCGTAAACTGGGACAAAAAAACTGGACAAAATGTGCTCCAGTTTTACAGACCTCTTCATGTGTGGGTGCTGAAATGTTAATAGATTTACTTGCCAATTATTGCAGGAATAAAAAGATTAAAACATCAATAAAAGTTGGTGTAGTAGGATTACCCAATGTTGGTAAAAGTTCAATAATTAACAGTTTGAAGAGGTCACGCGCCTGTAATGTTGGTGCAACTCCAGGAGTAAATGCATTCATTGTAGATAGCTTAAGTCCTGTAGGTGTTTGTGTGGAATGTCCAAAAATATAAATGTCAGAGATCAGTTCTTCTATATTGTTGTTTGTATTTTTATTTTGGTGTGAATTGGATTTGCACTTGTGATTATATAATTTATTATAAATTCACTTATTTGTTATTAGAAGGAAATGGGAACTATCTCTATACAAAAAAATTGGGAAAAAAAAAGTAAAATGTAGTATTATGTAAATTTTAGCCAAATTTCTCATATCCTGTTTCAAAAGTTATTTTTGAAATCAGGATATAAATTTATCCAGATGAGGACTTCAATTTGTTTCTATGATTATAAAATTTGCAAAACACACTTTTCACAGTCACCAGAAATTCAATACTCTTCTCTTTAGAAGGTTCCAGATCCACCTTTATTCATAAAATCTAATCAAAAATAATTTTGATGTATTAATTTAGATGTCATTTTTATTTTTGGGGTTATTATTTTGAATCACTACTCATTTGATCTCATTTTAGAGCTATGCAAGAAGTTCATTTAGACTCCAAAATAAGACTATTAGACTCGCCAGGAATTGTATTTGCCTCAGGTAATGATAGCATTTCATCCTTACGGAATGCCGTGAAAATCACTGGTTTAAGCGATCCAATAACTCCTGCTAATGCTATTTTACAAAGGGTCACCAAACAGCAAATGATGGAATTGTATGATATAACTGAATATGATACGCCAGAGGTAATACAAAGTTTGTTTTTTTAACGGAAGTATTTAACATAATAATTTCAGGAATTTTATAGTTTAAAAGCAGCTCGTACAGGAAGATTTAGAAAAGGTGGAATTCCAGATTCTGTCAGTGCAGCAAGAGGTTTATTGGAAGACTGGAACAGGTAACATAATTTTTATCATTTTCTACTCCATTTTTTTTGTCGTTTAGTTAGTAAAATTGTGTGTTGTTAACAAAAATCTTCAACTTAACACCAACTCCTAATACTATTTTGACATAACTATTCATTACTTTTCATCACTACATATCTATATAGCACATGTATTATTAACTCAATTCACACGAGTTTTATCCTCCCTCAAAAATTCATCTTTCATTATATTGTAATAACTTCTTCTGCTGAGAATTGTAGTGATTTGAAATTAATGTTCATTTAACAATACTGGAAATGTAAATGCTGGATTACTGTTTTTTAAAGCTCTTTATAGCCATTCTTTCTTTCTTTTTTCTCTTTTATCTATTCCTCTCCCCATTATAGTTCCCTGCCTGTTCCCCCTTGCGGTNAGAAAATTACGATTTTGATGTTGATTTCAGCCCATAATAAAATATGAAAATTTCAATAAAATGTTTAATTGTTTCATGTATAATAAAATCAATATAAAAAAGTGAGCATTGTATACCTAATCAGATAAATCACTCACAGGTAAGTAATCAGGTAGAATTTCCCATACTTTTTCTCTCCATTTTCTTTTTTTCAACTCTTTTGCCTTTTCAAGTTGATTAACTGCTTTCAGTGACTTCCATTGGTAAAAATAATGGAATAAAATCCTTCTACAACGGAATTGGATAATATAATTTTGTAGTCATTTAGTAAAATGTTCACCTTTCGTAGTGTTTGGCAGCTTTTTTCATATTTCTGTCTCGAACTAAAAATTGTTTGCATATATAACGATTCCAATTAATAAATGTATTGCTGATAAGCCGAAAATCGTATAAATCTTCAGCTGCTTGCATATTCCTGGTACTTTCCAAACAATGCTAAAAAATATAAAGTACTTCAAATTGAAACGTGTATATTTTTAGGAGTGATGAATTTTTGGGAAATGAAGGTTATGGCTTTCTACTTCTTCATCTTAATACAAAAAATGTGGAAAACATCTGAAGAATGGAAGGGAGCAATCAATTTCAAAAAATTAACTCTACAAAGATGTCTAGATATGCAAAGAAGTAACTTTTAGGCACAAACTGGTAGAAAAAGCTCTCTCTTTGGAATATTCCCACACACACACACACATATATATAAAATCACCTTAGCGACTGAAGCAATGTACAGGAAAATGGATTAAACGGGGCCTCTCAGTCAAAAATCAAAACTCTGCTTTACTTTGCCAAGCTTTCGCTTCTAATAGTGAAATAGTTCAATTCATAACTTGATATTTTAGTGTGGAATTATATGATACTTAGATCTTTAAAAGCAGTAAGAATATATGTTGAACAAAAAATATATATTTTTGGTAAAAATATATAAATGAATGAAATTACCTGTCTCCAAACTGCCATTGCCCTTTTCAAAATTTTGTATTCATACTGAGAATCAGCTATTTCAATTTTAAGTACATATAAACTTTCAATATAATTCATCCAGCAACCAAAGCTTTGTTTTAAAAGTATTTTATCATAGTAGTAACAAGCAAAAAGATGTTTTTCTTTGTTTTTCTGAAAATTAATATACAACTTCTTGAAGCATTGTTGGACTAATATTTTATTATAGAACTTAGTTGCTCTGTTTACATTATCCATGTATCTTTGTTTGTTCGCTTGTCGATGTTTTTCTATCTCAAGCTCTTTTCTTCTCCTTTCTTTCAACATTTCTAAATTTCTTTTTTTCTCTTCTTCTTCCAGAGCCCGTTTCCTTTCAATAACTTCTTCTAACATTCTTTGACGATTTTCTTCAATCAAGCGTTTTCTTTGTAAAATAATTTGACGATTTTGTGCCCTCTGTAGAGCTCTCTGTTCCATTTGTTGCACAACTTTTGGAATTTTTTGACTACTTATTTTCAAGTTTGGTTTCTCAATCAGTATAATAGGTGCTTTGCATTTCATCTTTTCTGAACAATTGGAGAAAATTTCTCTTATGTTAACTTTAGTATTCTCGATTGACTGAAGTAAATCTTCCTGTATGATTCCAAGTTTCAACTCATTGATGATTTTATTTTGTTCTTCCAGTTTTGCCTTTTGCATTTCTATTATATTTTTTTGTGCTTTGAAACGGTTCTTATAATTGCTACAAGGTTCTAATAGTGAAGTGTTGAAGCCTGCCCCGTTTGAATAATGTACAACATCCTCAACTTCATTATTATCACAATATTCATATCTTCTTTTATTCTTGGTGTTTTTGAGGTTCTTGATAAAATTTTCTAATTTTTCTTCTTGGTTTATTTTTTCTTGAACTATTGCAAGTTTTTCATTTTTAGTTCTCACATACTTTCTCCACAAATTGAAATATTTATTCTTTAAATTCATCACTTCTTCACTGACACAATTTGAATTGCAAGATTTGGGAACTGCCATATTATCTGTTTCTAATAAACTACTAATTAATAGGTAGTCGCAGAATGACCACCAATCATATACAATTTTCTGTCAACCTTGGAAAGGGCTATTTTTCACACAAAAAAATTTCAGGCTACACTCTGTGCCTGCCCCACCACAAACTGGGTAAGGCTTTCAATTTCTGGCAGAGCTCACTGTTGCCACAACAGCCACAATAAACACTCTCTCACTTTGACCTACCTACCTAGTTCATAAAACTGGTTTTGTTCATCCTACTGATTATGGAACCATTGATTGAATGATTAGTTATAATCAGATCACCAGTACTTAGCTAAGAAATTAACTCACTGTTGAATGGTCCTCTTCAACAAAAAAAATTAATTCCTGAAAGCTTTCTTTTCATTATATGTTTGGCAAATGTTTTTCCAAGTCTCTACCTTCAGTAGTCATTGATATGTTTCCAGATAATTTGAAATTTCAACTTATAGATGATTTTTTCTTTTTCCAGCGGAAAAATTAAATATTATACTGTACCCCCCGAAGAAAACACTGAAAATGTTCATATAAGTGCAACCATTGTCAGTGAAGTGGCAAAAGAATTTGACTTAGCTAGTTTTGAAACAATGGAAACTGATATTTTGAATAAAATAGAAAAAGAATCTGGATCTAAAACGAATGCATTCATTGTAGATAGCTTAAGTCCTGTAGATTCAGTAGAAAAAATGGAAGAGGATAAAGAAGATGAAAATTTAGTAAGTAATGTCATATTCGGTAATATTTAATATTTATGATTATGATAATATTTATGATTATTATTTCTAGTTGAGTGAGAAAATGAACATAACTACTAATAAAAAAAATAAAACCCAAAAAATGCCCCGAATTAAGAAAGTTGACCCTGAAATGAACTTAGAGGGCAACCAGAAGCTCAATCAAATAATTATATTGTAATAACTTCTTCTGCTGAGAATTGTAGTGATTTGAAATTAATGTTCATTTAACAATACTGGAAATGTAAATTCTGGATTACTGTGTTTTAAAGCTCTTTATAGCCATTCTTTCTTTCTTTTTTCTCTTTTATCTATTCCTCTCCCCATTATAGTTCCCTGCCTGTTCCCCCTTGCGGTTCCATATATGGTGCAAAGCGTTAACCCTGCCTGGAACACAAAGCCACAACATTTACTGCCGATGACTTAACAATTTTGAATAGTTTATGTTTTGAATTGTTTGCCTGAAATATTTTTCAGTCTAATCGACATTGATTAGTTTGACGAATCTGTTTAAAAATATATGTAATACAATGTAATGACCAAAATGAACTCGCTTCAACCGAGCGTATTTGATTTGCTCATCTCATCCCAATTTTACACAATATGATCAACACCTGCATCCCTGATTCTTTCAGATCAGTTCTTTAATCACTTTGTTTTGTTCTTCAAATAAAAAAGTCTCCTTCCTCTTATCACATTATTCATTGCTTCCGGCATGCCAAAGCACTATTATTTGCAGATGATTTAAAACTTTTCACAATTATTAAAACCTCTTTGGATGCCCATAGGCTTCAGTCTGACCTTGACAGTCTATCAAACTGGTGCTCCTTAAACGGCATGGACTTGAATGCCGCAAAGTGCCATGTCATGCGCTTTTATCGATCCCATATACCTTCTACCACTCTTGATTACACTTTAAATGGTCATGTCTTGGACCGTTAATGAAATAAAAGACCTTGCGGTTGTTCTTGATCCCACTTTGAAGTTCAATCTACATATACCCACAGCTATCCATAAAGCCATGAACATGCTAGGGTTTGTCAAACGGCTAACTGGCCCGTTCACTGGCCCGTCCAAACCTGGAGTATTGTACTTCTATCTGGTCTCCTCATTGTGTAACTTATATTAAGAACATCGAAACGGCAAAATCAGTTGTGCTGAACTCCTAGAAAAAATGTATCTACTTGTTCAAAACCGCTCAACTCGACAGCAACAAACATTTTACATACCATTTTATCATTTGAACCACACATTCAATAACTGCATTCCAAGAATCTTACGATTATCCAATAGTAACGTTGATCTTGAGATGTTTAACATCAACTCTGTTGAAATATCAAAATTACAAGGTATTCAGCAAAGAATGAGTACCTACCTCTTTGCCCCCAGAATTATCTTTTCGCATTTTGTTGAAATATCACCCTGGAAGTCTTTTTCCCTATAAAATTTCAATTCATCTATATCCCCCATAATATTTTCGGTTTTGTCCATCTTATTTTGTATCGTTCATGAAATATGTTAGTCGCCATGGAGATTTCAAATACTCCGCCAAAACGTCATAAGAAAACGTAGAATAGCTACAAAATGTCTGGAAACAACTGCCGCATTAAATGGTAACATAAACTTTATACATTAGGATTGTGATGATATGGTGACTTCCATTATTCTACAATGTACTTTTTTTGTTATCATAAACAAGCGCCATTTTTGAGAATATTTTCTAGTGCGTAGAACACATTTTGGCTACGATTTATATCCATATCTGATGTGGTTAGGTCGATTTCATTTCAAATATAGGTGGTTGTTTGAAACAAATCTGAGCGCTCGGCAAGCTTTCGTCAATATTTTCTCAGATCTGCTCCGTGTTCAATATTTACCAGAAAACCTCAGAGTAATAAAAAGACAGTTGCCATGCCTGTACGGCGCCAATACCAATACAATACATGTGTTTTGAAACGGGTATCGTAATATTCTTTTCTGTACAACTTATGGACGAGGGGAGTGGCGGGTAATGAGAGGTTATGGAGAGTTTGTTTACATTTGAAGTAGGTTGGACCATAAGACAGTGGCGGTTGGTTTAGTTGATAATCGGAGGGATATTATATATTTATGATTTTATTGTGAAATAACGATAAAAAAAACAACAATAAAAATTAATTGGCGCTCCAGAGCGACTTCATTGATTCCAGTGGCGTATTTGCTTTTTCAGCAAAACCTGCAGCACCACATCGTCTGAAGATCTTGATCTGCCAATGTCCTCTCTCTCATGAAATAAAATGTAGGGTGTCTCCAAAGGCTCCAATAGATTCAATACATCCCCAGAACACTTCGTGACATCTATCGTCAAACTTAAACCAGTCCGTTTGGTCTTTGACCAAGGCCTAATAATAACCAAATTCAACGCCAGAACCACAGTGAACAAAGACTGCATGAATATTGTAATAGTGGTCTGCTGGATTGAAATGTTCATCTATTTTGAACCTTCGAAAGAGTTTATTGCTTTCGTCAGAGGTTGAGTCTTGTTTGAAATTCATCACTGTTATTATTAGATTGACTGATGCCTCAGCTATACTTGTTTTCTTATAACAGTCAGTTAGTTTGGCGCATGTTTGGCAATACAGTCGATCATCACCTGTTGATTATCATATGATTTAACAATAAACTTTGCACGGACTGGTTATTAGTCATATTAGGAAACATAAATAAAAATCTAGTAGGTGGTATAAATTATTTGAAATATCTGAAAGAAAATCCCAGTGCCGAAAACCGAAATAGGTTTGTTGATGCTCGCTGCAAACTTAGAATAAATGAAAGCGAATAACTTCACAATCAGAGAATTAGAGATAAACTGCTTGCCAATCATAACGGGTTTAGATCCTTCTGGTCGTTAGCTAAAACTGTTAATCAAAGCTTTACAAAATCCACAATTCAACACTAACACAAGCAGATGATTCAATTGCCTCCACATCCATAGGAAAAGCAAATCTATCTTAAAAATTTGCGTCCCACTCCACAATCGATTTTCTGGGAAAGGCATCATCCACTATTGCAACACTAGAATCCACATTGCCGAAAATTACTTTTCGACAACGTCTAGTCAGGCGAATTTGTAACAGCTCAATATCAACCTAAGCATACCCTAAAGCTACTGGATTCCATTCAGAAAAGAGCCATCCGCCTGATGGGAGACGCGATCATCACTTGCAAACTAGATAGATAGAGAGATTGGATATTTGTCTCTCCCTCACAGATACTTTCACGGGAAGTAATCAAGTGATTTGGCACACTTGATTCTACCAAGAGCGGTACATATCAGAAATACGCTACGAACTGTGGCTGCTCATCAGTCCACCTTGATCTTTACTGTTTAAGAACTCTTCCATTTGGAGAACTGCGTTCATGTGGAATACACTTCCTGAGAACGTTTTTCCAAATGGATTTAATCTCAGCGATTCAAATTCAAACTATCCAAAGTGAATCGCTAATTTCGCACAGATACCGCTCTTAGAACGCGTTAAGGATTTTTCTGTAGTGCTTGTGTTTTTTTCTTTAAAAAAAACTTTCATTAGACGTGTCCGATCAGTCCAACGACAAAGTCGAAGGCGACTATGGTCTTCTATTCGAGGACCCTGTTTCATTAAGAGGGAATAACCGAGCGCATCTGTCATTGGAAAAGGAATAAGAAATATAGAAAATAGAAAGAGAAAAAAACAAAAATCAAAATTAACATGGTCGTCAACTAGTAACTATGTGAGTAGTTGACCTGTTGGAGACCTGAGTTTTTCAGCCCATAGAACGTGTTAAAGCGAAAAATATTCTAATAATTTTGTTTCAATTTTGACTCCACGAAAATATTTTCATATCTCGAATATCGATGCTATATTTACTTTTCCCTTTCTACAAAATGGATTCCTTCTAAAATACTATTTTGATGTATTGGATTTCTACATTACGAAAGTTTTATAAATGGAGTGAAAATGTAAAATGATGATTTTTAATTCGAGAGTTTTCAGGTTTATACTTTTATTTATATATTAGTCAATTAGCGATGGAGACTATAATAGAAGGGCCTCAGGATGACAGGGGCCAAATGCAGGATATTAATATTGTGGGTGCTGCTAATTGGAATAACCATCCGGAAGAAATACCTAACAACTCGACACTTCTATACATAGCTGTAAGTAAATAATGCTGATGAATAAAGTGTGGACTATGGAAAGGGACAAGATATCAAGATCGCATAAATTTCATCTACGAAAAGTCATCACTCATTGTCAAGAGATTTGCCATCAACTTTTTCCAAATGGAAAGGGGGTGTTGTCTGATAGGTTTTTCATTTCCCTATACTATACTACACTAATACTGGATTTTTAGATTGAGTGACGTGAATACAACTAAAATTCAAGCTGTTGCTTTGAAACAAGTGCAAGATTAATTTGCAATAATTCTCAAAGGCCAGCCACAATGTATCCGTAAAGTAAGAGATGGTTATGTTATATCTCTTGTGAAATTTCCCGTATAAACAACCAATCAGAGCACAGAATCACTATAATCAACAATTGACAATTATAAATTCTATGTCAGTTTTAACTTTATTAGTAGTTTTTTTTTTGTATTTCAGCAATTGTTTATTATTGAACAGGTGTAAAATTGAAACAGCCTTGAAAGTTTTTGGTTAGTGCCTGACCTACGAAATAAACATTATCCATTTGCGTTAATGCTCTCATTACGTTGCGATTGGCTTATGTTACCCAATCTATGAATTCTGTGTAAGTAATTGGCATTTCCTTTTGAGAATCTCCAAAGAAATAAATAACAATTTCAATAAAAAAAATTTCATAACTCCATATTATTCTAATAAAAATTCAAAATGTTCAACCATTCTTTTCCTATCAATAATGAATTGTGTCTTACAATATGGAATATTTCTGGGGTAGTTTTGTTTCAAGCACCTATTATTCGTTTTTCTTCTGCAACAAGCTTTCTTTCCTATCTGTGATGTCTAGTTATTAGACATCTGAAATTTAGTAGCCGGTTCATTGAAGTACTCTTTAGATTATTAGGAAACTGCACATTGAATATTCTTTCTGCTTTGTGATGGTAATGCCCTCCTTCAACAAATCAAAACTTCTTCATAAGAATGGACCAGTATTGTGATGAGTATCTTCAACAACATATGAT